AACTTCGCGGATCTCACTCAGGTAGCAATGGATAGACTAAAATTCATTTTGACCTCTGCATTGGTTTGTTAACCCAAACATTGAGAAGTAGTTTATTCTTCACTGTAACGCCAGCGATTTTGGTATCGGCGCAGTTCAACTAGCGGAAGATAAAGCTGAAAAGCCCATTACCTTTATGTCAGAAAAGCTAAGTCGATAACAACATAATTACAGCGTCACCGAAGGCCTAGTATAAGCCATTGTAAAGTTTCGCTGCTACTTGGAATTGTAGGAATTTGAAGTGGTTACCGACCATTCTAGCTTATTATGGCTCATGAGGCAACAGAATGTAACGGGAAGACTTGTGAGGTGGATTTTTAGATTGCAACAGTTTAAATTTACCTTTTCGCATCGAAAAGGAAACTACGTTCCTGACGCCTTATCTAGACAGTCTGAAACCGAAATAAATTCATTGAACAAGGCTCCTATGGTAGACCTTACCTTTCGTACAGAACAAGCGAACATTAAGACACACGATAGTGTTACGTCCTCCCATGCCGGAATGCGGAAGCCCATAGACAAGCTACGCCGTAATCTTTCCTTAAAATAAGGACAGGAAGTATTCCACTTCTTACACACAACTCAGATTAGTGACTGATTTTGCAATATTTCCGGCTGAGCCACAAAAATGTGGCACGACGACATTGTAATATATTATAATAATTATTTAATTTATTAATAATATTTAGCAAAAACATGTGTGCGTAACTACGCAGTTTATTTATTTATTTATTTCTCTTACGTTCTTAGAAGCGACGAACGCTCCGTCTCTCTCGGCCTAAATGCTCTTCTGGCTTGTTTCTGATTTCTATGTTTATTAACGGAATTCGTTAGTTCATTTGCGTTGTAATATATTCACTCAAGTATTAAATATTGTTTATGCACCTAGTTCTTTTGCTGATCTTTTATTTTATTTTTAATTTTTAAGCTGATCTGGATAAACTAGTCATTTGGTATTATCCTTTACAGTTTTTTATGGGTGGCTTTCTAGAAAGATCTTTGGACTTTGTGACAATTTTTATTTTGTTCTTATTTTATGACTACCGAGTGTAGAAATCTGAGAATCCTGAAGTGTGGGCTTTGCTGTTGTATTTGATGTTAATCAGATTGTTTTAGAACGAACTCAATGTCACGATCGCCATGTAGTGAATAGTACCAAGTATTTGTTTGTTTCTGGATAGGAAAAAGGGAAATCATTAAATGTAATACTTTTAAGAAATTTTTGTATTTTTAATTTGGTTGTTGCTTGTCGAATTTCTTTTCTCTTTGCTAACAAAAGTTTGAAATATTTTTATTTTTATTTATGTTTCACAAAGTTGCCGGCTAGATAAACTTCATTTGTTTGCTCTCCTATAAAACAAAATCTAAAAGTAATCTTTTATCTAAATTTTCTTTTTGCTAAAAATGTTTAAATTAATATAATGACTAAATATTTAGAGTGTGTCTGCTGCTGTCCAGCTTCTAGGTATGATTATTTGAATTGATTGAATAAAGACTTATTTATTTTTGCAAACTACAGTTCGTCTATAGAGACAAAAATATTATGTGATAAAGAATATAATTGGTGCCCATTTTTGTGTAACCGGCAGTGTCCAACTTCATATATATATGCTCACGGCTATTCTATGCTTAAAAAAATTTGTCATAAAATAATACAAAATTATAATAGAAAACAGTGCCGAGAAACCTATACAGTCTTTGGTGGAGGGAATAGCACTAAGGATCGACCCCTAATTGAAAAACATAAGGGTAAGCATAATTTTTTCGTTCTTTTCATTCCTGATATTGTATTTAAAGGTAATTTCGAGGCATACGGCCTAAAAAACAATAAAAAGAACGTTGTTAGAGCTGTAATGGAGAATGAATCCCAGAAAAAAATGGATATCTTTAAAGGGCTGCGAGCATCCAAGGCTAGAATAAGAAGGGGGTATGAAGAAGATAATGATTTAATAATATCTAAAAGGTTCACGGGTGTAGGTGCTAAAAAACGTGGACTGTATGCCAGCAGAATCGATAATGAATTGAAAAAAAAAAAAAGTTTGGAATGGGATTCAAGAAAAAACAATCAAGTAAAAAAAAATAAATTGAATGAATTTAATAAGAATAAGGTTTCTAAAACAGCTGGAAAGAGTATAGTCGATATGCAATTAAATGAAAATTACTTCGATACAAAGAAATATGATAAAAACAAAGGACTAGAAGGGAATGGCCGCCATCCCGCTCAAGAAAAATCGAACGAAAATGGAAAATTTAAAGATCGAGGCGGGAAAAACTTTGAAAACGATTTGCCAAAAAGAAATGAAAGGAGTGACATTGATATGCACTGGAATGAAAATTACTTCGATACAAAGAAATTTGATAAAAACAAAGGACTAGAAGGTAATGGTCGCCATTCCGATCCTAAGAAAACGAATGAAAATAGAAAGTTTAAAGATCGAGGCGGAAAAAACCAGGAAAACTATTTAAGTGAAAAAATAAATGAAAAGTTTACGAAAAAAAGTAAAAATCGATGGAGTGATAGTAAGTACGATGAGAGAGGAGAAAAACAACTAAATCCAGAAAAGAGTCAAGCTAATTTCCAAATAAAACGGGAACACATTAAAATGCAACATGGGGTAAAAGGTGATTCTGATGTAAACGGTCAGTCCGACGAGCAATTGAAATGGGACCCTGCCTTTAATAAAATGAACCTTGTTGGCAAAAATGTCAACAAAGCTTCAAAAAATGAAGATTCTGAAACCCCATTAAAGAAAGAAAGGATAAGGAGAAATACACCGAACTCGGATAAAACATCACAAAGCCCCAGTAGCAAAAACAATGATAAATCGAAGGCTGTTAAGAGCGTATTAAATCGAGGACATGCTCGTTACAGATGCAAGAGTCTGGGGTATATGAAAGAACACTTACGTTTTGGTCGACTCGTATGTCCTTCGGATTTGCTTCGTGTCAAGCTAGAGGAGCGCGATCTGTACAGATGGTAACTATTCAAATAAATTATTTTCGTTAAAGCTTTAATGAAACTACAACCTTTTTAGTATTCCGTACTGTAACACTTCGGTATACCAGAGGTGTATGCCCTATAAATTCATATGCCAATGCTGTGCCGCTCCATGACAGTAAAAACATTGTTCTCTTAAAAATATTTTTTCATTTAAATTTCTTATGTACGTAATTATCTAAAATTTAATAAAAAACAGGCAGCAAATAAAATTTTTTATTTTTACGGTCTGGAAAATTGTATAAAAGACTATTAGGTTGTCCAAAGACGTATATGAAGGAGAAGATTTTTTGAATACTGTTTTTATTATTCTTCTAGCTGTCCATGTTTGTAATTAATATTGTATAGATTTCTTTTAAACTTACATTTTATTTCCTATAAGATACAAATCAATTATCGCTAAACTAAAGCTCATTAAAACTGCTGTAACATACAATTGAGTACGCCCTTTCAACTAAATCCACAAAATCACCAACACAATCGTGAATAAGTGTTATTCTATCCAAGGCCCACCCATATAGAGTGTAAGTCACGAGAACTTGTGGTGGCAAAACAAAAAGTCATTATTTAACACTTAACGCCATTTGAGCTTACAACGGTACCATTATAAGATCTAGATCGGATTCTAAATGTCAAGAAATATTCTTATAATGAAATCGAAATGCAACACAAGAAAATTTATTATAGCTAACAGGTCATTAATAAATAAAAGATAAAGTAGCGCACCAAGATGGCTTCCTTGTGTGATGTCAGATGTGATTTGGAGCATACAATTAAAAGAATTTTTTATTTGCCATTTAAATAACTTCAAAACAAACGAAATAAGTTGCAAATTAGTTAGTTGGTACAGATCTGCTTTTTAAAAAAACTTGTATTCTTTTTCTTTTTTCTTTTATTACGATACCTGATATTCGCTCACGTCGTATGATGAGTTATATTCAGCATTTATTTTTTTTATCTCGGAAAAACGGTTAAATTCAATTGTCAAACACTCCTTTTACGTGAGACGGACAAGCCGTTTTACCTAAAATATGAAGTATTCCCAATGTCGAAATGGGGTATTTGCGTATATGTGACTCGCCATTTCTTTTAAAGACTAAAAATCCTTGTCGAATTTAACAAAAACTTATTTTTTGTTTGCTAGGTGCCTATAGTTAAATAGGATATAATGCTTAAAATTAAAGCAAAACAGAATGCTTGCTGAAGTCCCCGACTATCAGATACCGGTTCCTCAGCTAAAGATTAAAAAATTTTAAAAAGTGTAGCAGTTTTGAGCCTTTGGTAGGCATTATAGGGGGCAAAGCAACATTTGGAAAAATTGCGCTGCGTCTATGGCTCTAGAATTAATTTCAATATTCTAGTTTTTATAGTTCCTGATATGGAGGTGTTCATATGGACAGACGGACGGTCGGATTGACAAACGGACATGGCCAGTTCGACCCGTATTGATCCTGATCAAGAATAAATACTTTTAATATACTTTTATTGATCGAAAACGCTGGCTTCAGCCTGTTTCATACTTTTCAACCCTTTTACTCAAAGAGTAATGGGTATAATAAAAGATCCGCAAAGAAACTACGTGCAGTTCGAAAACACTTTAAATCCTATTTAATATAATATATAAAAACATTCAATTCGTGAGTGAATATATTTAAACAAAAAACCTAAGGGATGGCAAACCCAGTTCCACAGAAACTTTCTGAAAACCGCGTAAATCATATCCTACCTAATTAAAAAAGTTCCAAAAGCTCTTAGCATTTACATCACTGAAGTGGAATACTTCTACCGCACACAAGAACCCCAACAAATACATATACATAATTTATATAATTTATTTACTCTTTATAAGAAATAATTGAAGAAATTTCCACTAAATGGATAGCAAGGAGAATCAGTAAGTTCGCAAGGTGTTAAAAATAATAGCAGTGACAGTAAATAAGTAAATAAATAAGCTTGACTTAAAAATATACCATTAAAGCAGATTAATTTATACCAACGCTTTAAACCATTACAAATTGCATTGAGAGCAACTCTTGATTTAGCACAAAGTAAATGCGAAGTAATAGATCCTTGACTTTCTGAGCGAACATATATACAGGCACCATAAGCGGATATGCTGGCATCGCAGAATCCATGTATTTCCAAAGACGCAGAAGGAAGCAAGACGAAACGAGGAAATTTGAGATATCTGGCAGTTGAGAATTGCGATTTATGCTCCAACCATGATGTATGGAAAGTCAAGTTTTCATCCGAATCGAGCTTGTCTTTATGCAACAACTGCATGAATATTTTGAGTTTTGTAACTATGGGGGATATTAATCCAAGAGGATCATAAAATTTAGCGATGGTTGACAGGATGGATCTTTTTGTTGCTTTTTCGACAGCGAGATCTGTTGAGAAATTAAAGATCAAATGATCGCGACTTGGGTCCCAAACAAGACCAAGAGTTTTTGTAATGTCAGTTCCGTCGTGAAACTGAAGCAGCTTTTCTAAATCCTCTTCAGATTCGCCTTCGAGAGCGGCAGCTTCATTGGAATACCATTTTCTTATTGGGAAGTGACCACGTCGTATGTGGTAGATCAGCCTCCTCGTCCTGAGCTAATTGCTGCATAGCTCGAATTGCTAAGAAAGCAGCCGGCTTAGTTCCGTAGGTCACCGTATCCAAAGTGTATTCCTTGACCTCGTCATCAGGATTGTCGCGCCACAAAATGCACTGCAGATATTGATCAGGATGTGTCATGCGGACACAACGGTACATCTTGCAAATATCGCCACACAAGGCAATCCTGAAAATTCGGAATCGAAGTAACGTGGTGAATAGCTTGGGTTGAATTGAGGGTCCAGCCAAAAGAAGATCATTCAATGATTGGTTTGTGGTTGATTTTGCTGACCCATCAAATACAACACGCAATTTTGTTGTTGTACTATCCGTTTTGCTAACGCAGTGATGTGGCAAATAGAATTGAGGCAAAGTAGACTGCTTGTTAGAAAGCGCATGTGTTTCAAATCGAGGTATTCCTTAAGAAAGGCTGAGTATTGCAACTTTAAATCCAAGTCTTTAGCAAATTTGTTTTCGAGAGACTTAAGACGGCGTAATGCACGCTCATAAGAGTCTCCAAGAGAGTTCAAAGGAAATTTAGCTGGCAAACGAACTGAATATTGTCCAGAGCTGAGTCGAGAATATCCCTTTTGAAATAGCTGCTCACACAGCAAATCATCGTCCGATATGGAAGATGCAGATCCAACGCAATGATCTATCTCCCAAAATCTTTTCAAAATGTTAGGTAAATCTTCAACTTCTGGAGAATGGGATGCTTCTAAGTTTGATACAGCCAATGCTGAAAGGCTTCTTGATGAGGGAGCAACAATTCCACCTACGATCCAACCGAGTCGTGTCCTTTGAAGATAGGGCAAATTTTCTGCAATTTTAATTTGGCCCGCGCAAAGTAATCCATAATATAGACCACCTCCAATTAAAAGGTCTATTCGTTGGCTTTTATTAAAAAGTGGATCCGCAAGATGAATGTTCAGAGGAATATTCCAATCAGAAGATTTAATGTCAAAATGCGGATGATAGCCGGTGATTGTGTTTTGTACGGCAGCAGTAAGCGATGTGTGATACGATGAATCACGAGATTTAAGCTCAACGTCGATTGAACTATTTGATGAGAGAGAAGTTTCTCCAACTCCCGAAATCCGTATGCCAGTTCGATGGGATTTCAGCCGAAGTTGGTTGGCGAGGCGAGTGGTGATTAAATTTAGTTGAGCTGCATTATCTAATAGAGCTCGACAAGGAACAAAAACTCCAGAGCGATTTTTGAGATAAACTACAGCTGTGGCTAGCATCACGTATTCGGTCTGATTTTCATTTTTGGGCTTAGGTGATGCAATCAATGTAGATTTAGATACAAGAATAGAAGATGAATTGGGCTGAGAATCAAGAGGAGATTGCCTAACGACAGTGCTGGTGCTCAAATCCATGTGAAGCAATGAGTGGTGTTTGGATTGGCAATGCTTGCAATGCCCAGACTTGCACTGTTGTAAGCTGTGCCCTTTATGAAGGCAGTTTAGGCAAAGATGAAGACGCTTTGCCTCCTTGTAACGCATCGTTGGAATCAAATTCAAGAATTTAGGGCACTTAAACAACTTATGGTCTTTGGCGTTGCACAATGGGCAAGAGGGGCCAGACGAAGAGATGAGGGCATTTCGATACGGTTTTAATTTTCCCACCTGAGCGCTGGATGTTTGGGTTACCATAGCGTTTTCCAAATTTTCCATCATTCGGCATCTCTTCTCTAAAAACGTTGACATCTCGGTCCATTTCGGAAGCTTGTACGTTGGCAAAGACTCTTCCCATTTTTCGCGTGTAGCTGGATCCAATTTTGAAGCGATGAGATGAATCAGCATTCCATCAGCAATTTCCTGCGATGGTGCTATTGTGCTCAAAGCCCGTAAATGTGAATTAATTTTGTCGCTCAATTCACGTAGACTGCTTGCAGAATAAAAATAAATCAATAATAAATCCAATGCGATATCATAATTTTCACTTGTCAGCTCCAGGGATCGTATAGTGTCCAACGCAGCGCCATCTAAGCAAGACCTTAGATGCTGAAATTTCTCCACTTTGCTCAGATCCTCGAGTCTTCCAACTGCGTTCTTGAACATGGAGTAAAAATCTGGCCAATCTATGTAAGAACCGGAGAAACGCGGTAATTTGAATTCAGGGAGTCGAGAGCTGCTAGCTAAACACCGAAAAGTACTTTGATCCTCGATCACATTTCGAATTACCGTGGAATTAGCAATTAAGGATTTTTGTAAGCGATTGAGTTCACGATTTAATTTTGATCTGACACTGCAATAGACTTGGTTAAATTCGGTTCGCGCGTCAGAAGTCAACTCCAATAAGTCGAGCTTCTCTAGAGTGGTCTGAGATGAGTCAAAGTCTGATTGCATTCGAGCAGAAATTTCAATGCGCACCTCAAGATCCGACTCATCAAAATTATTTAGCTCTTCTTGAGTTAAAAAGTTGTTTAAAGCCACGATTTGCCGAAATATTGAAGACGATTTAGCCTTATAAAAATCAATGTCCCTTGATGCCACAGTAGGGTTAGGAGATCCCGTAATCTCCGAATTCATTTTTATAATTTTTCGAAAA